GCACATAATGGATTGAACCACAGTACAGTGGATTGCAATGGTATTCATTTTGAATTGTGCCCCAATGCACTATTACGGTTTGATAAGCAATCATAGGCAGTACTCCTGCACTGGGCCTGGACCCCATTGGCTCAGCAGGTGGACCTCGCCTGGCAGGTGTTGCGTGTGGATGGCTCCAGTGCAATATCGTTGCAGCAAAGTGAAAAGGGGCAATGCAGTGTCATTCCAACTCTTTCCTTTGCTTATTCCCACTCACCTCCCTCCCAGCATACCTGGGGGCAGCTTGCAGTCTCTGTGCTTGCAGCAGCTCTATACAGTGTATGAGGGGAGAGAGGGGCCATGTCAGGTAGTCTTTATAGGGCCCATGACTTCTAGCGGCAGCCCTCCGGTAGGGGGCAAACCACACTGCAGCCCGTCACAAAGCTTTAATAAAAAGGGCGTTTGTGTTTTAGTGTGTTGAGGGGTTCTGCCTGGCTATCTTAAATTAAAACGTTGCCTTAACATGTGATAACACATTGCAATATTACATTGGGAACAATGTGTGTAGCCCCCTGCACAAAGGGTTCCAGGAGGTTCAGGATTTATCTGAACCCCCGCAGGGTTTGAATCATCTACCAAATGTTGGTCAATAGGGCTTGTGCTGACTGCTTTCTGAGAAGAACGTCATCTAGCACCTTGGTGAAAACTCAGGGTGCAGTGGATAGGCTGAAGGGCAACAAACTGGTCTGGGTGGGTGCTCACAGCTAAATGCAGGTAGCGATGGTGAGCAGGATAAATGGGGAAGCAAATATGAATCCCTGAGGTCAGGAAATTGCCCGGGTTAAGCAAGGGAATGAGCAAATTCAATAACAGGAATCAAGGAGAAGGCAGGGAGAGAAACTCCTGTTTGTAACCTATGGTCACAACACTAAACCAAAATGTCAGGAATGTCCCGTGACCAGAGAGCAGACAAGGCTAATAGACATCCCCTATTTGTAACCATGAAAAAAATGACAAGTGTTTAAGAACTTCAGTGTCTGTCAAGATTGGCTTGGGATCTCTAGCCATAGCTTTGGACCATACAGATAAGGTCTGACATACAGCCATGATGGCAACAGCAGGTTGCACAGATAGGGTTGCCACCCGTACGGGTTTCACCCGTACAACCCGGGTTTGGAATCATGTGCCCGGGTCTGTGGCCACCTCCCGCCCGGGCACATGATTCAAACATTACAATGCCGCATTATACCTGCATTTCTTGCGGCGGGCAAAGGACGGCGGGAGAAGGACGGCGGGTACAGAAAGTGCTTGTCTTAGGAATGACAACTATCAATAAAATGGATTTGCAGTAACATGGGATCTTGGTGCCGGTGTGCTGGAGACATCTGTATTGTTGTTCTGTTGTGAGCAGCGCCATCCGCAGTCATTACCGGCACCCGTTACTTTTGGCATATCTGGTAAGAACTGCGGCAAGGTATATGGGTACTGCTTTGTACACTTATCTACAGAATGCATATCTGGGGACCTGCGGCATACTGGCAAGTTGTGATTAACTCAAATATCGTTTATTTACAAAATACATGCATAGTGTATAATTTACAAACAAATTGCCGTGAAGCGCTATAGTGTTCGGGTTTGGCCTGAAGAAAAGGTGGCAACCCTATGCACAGATGGGCCTGCAAAGGCAAAGAATGCCTAAAGGAGGGCTTTTAAACCCTTGTCTGCATGGTCCTTCAAAACAGGGGGGTACTCTACAGGGACTGTTGGGGTTGATGGCAGGGTCCAGTGACATGAACAGCCCATTGCTGAACAAACCGTTTTGGAGTAGAAAATAATTTTAAGGACCCCTGACTAGTGACTGTACGCACTGAGGGTGTCCCTAAGGCGGCAGTTGCGGAGAGGCCCATTTGTGGCCATTGCTGTCTGATGTCTCAAAGATGTCAGTCATAATTTCCCATAAATCAGTACAGCAGTAAACCCATCTCTAGGCAATAGATCAGAGGTGGGTATTTTAGAAGGGGTAGCGGAGGATCCTGATTAAAGAAGTGAAGGGGATAGAGAGCAAATCGTGGGACTAGAAAAGGTTGTGACCCCAGTGGGGGTAGAACCCTCACCATAACTGTCAGGTTGTGTGCCCCACTCACCCCTTGTCTAGGCATCTCATGTCTATGATCCACCATATGTGCCCCCCCAAAAACTCAGGACCTGTGGGTGAGGAGGTTGAAGGCAGAAGGTGGCCCAGGCATAGGAGGAGGGCAGCCTTCGCCATTGCTGTGTCTGTGTAGAGTCAGAGCAGCAGCAGAAGCATATGTTCTGCCAGAACACACACCAGAGAGAGAGAAAGAGGCAAGTGCAGTCATGGTTCTGTGCAGGGATGGTTCACAGGCCCTAAGAACCTGGAGGGCACGGCAGCAGCTCATCTGAGTGGCTTGTAGTTTTCCCCAAGGCTGCGACAGTGATCAGGGTAGAAATGTCA